AGCAACACAACCTAGTTCGCGCATGCGCGTACGAAAACTGTTAACGTAGAAAATCTCGGTGTCGCTTCTCGTTGGTATACTGTTCTCTGGTTTTGTGTTGAACGACTTAATCAAAGGAGGGCTAGAGTGTTTAAGATCACTAATGTCCTTCATTGTTTCAATTATCCTCTTCACAGTTGATGAAGTTAAATCACTATTCTGATCATATTTTGTACGAAAATTGCGAACTGTAGCTGCTAAATCTTCATTATTTTTAAAATATTGCTCAACAATGAAAACGCGTTGTTCTTTCGTGTATAGCTTCATTTTTAGTAACCCTGAACTGTCAGCTACCACGCTGTCTTTATTTTTTCATTATGTTATCGGCATCTCAGCATATTTCGTATCACTATCGAGGCCTGTGATGCGCTTGAGTCGCGCGGCTAAATTTAATTAATAAATTTATGTTCTGTTTGGAAATCATTAACAAATTTTGCAGATTTGTACTTATCTGGTTACAGCCTATGGAGTTGACAAAAAATCTGAAGTTGTAGATCGTTTTTAGTGTATCAGACCTTAGTTACCGGAATCAAAGTAGTAGGGAATCGTATTATGAAACATGTAAAACCTAAACTTTGTAATATAGTGTGTTGTAAACTTAGACGTGTTTAACTCATTTCCAATTCTAATTGTATGTGTTTATCTCAAATATCAGACATGAAAACAAATAACGGAATTCTTACCTAAAGAAAGAAACTCTAAACTTCTAAGACTAACTAAACTAAAGCTAAATAAGCATTCAAAAAGGATTCTATAAAATAAAGTGAGATAAAATAGAATGTGGGACCACTGACACTATTGAGACGAGCCAGAGCAATGGACTACGAGTAGTTGCCGAGAGGAAAAGCCGCAAGCTAGCTTCGGTAAGTAGATTCCTTTGCTTACCACTTGTCAGGATTTGTTGTATTCGACCTTAACTCTCACTCATAAACTTTGTAACATGGTGTCACTGAGTAAAAACTTATATTCAACTTTCATATCGTCGTTGAGCCTTCAAAATGCGACATTTGTATTTTATCAAATTGTCCATTGAAGTTAAGAAACCCTCTGGGCATTTTTTTATTTAAGAATTACCTACAACAATTATTTTTAATTTTCCCGCAGACAGTCATAATTTTGTAGAAAATAAGACGGCTGTTTTTAACAAGATTATGCGGTTTGATTTCGTTTATTTCGAATTCTGCACTCGACACGTTTTGCTGAAAATTTGCACGTCGCATTTTGAAGGCGCATATGTGAAATTGAACTGAATTCGACTAACAATACAGCAATGAACGTTCTAGACATTGAGAACGGTAGTAATCGCGAGTACGCTCTTGCCCCAGACCATACCGCAGAGAGCGTATCCAATCGCGGAAAATCGCTGCTCTCGACGGAGTCCTTGTCATCCGCGGAAGTTCCCGGCTATTCAGTGGAGGAACAAATGGACGCTTGCATCCCTAGGGGTCGGATTTGGCAACAAAACCAGACGTGAGGATAGTTGGCAACTCTTTACCACATAAATGGCACAAAATTAAATCTTCTGTGAATTTTGGGACACCCGATAAAAGACATCTAATTGCTGATATCGCCGGAAACAACTACTTTATGGGCTAAATGCCCCAACTAGTAATAAATTATACCTCGCTGATGCCTAGCTAATAATAAATAATTTTCCAAAATAAAAACTAAAAATGATATTTGTATATACATATAATTATTATAAAACGATATACATTTTCAGGGTGTTTCCTAAGTACGGACGGTAACTTTAAAACACAATTTCTTATGGTATTTAAAGAAAAAAAGTTCCTATAAACTTGAAATCGGAAACATGGCTCGAAACGCTAAGATTCCGAGATACAGGATTTTGAAAATATAAAAAAAATGTACTAATATTTGAGATAAATTTAGAACAGTCAATGGTAGGTTCTTAAAATTTGGCAGTTATAGTACGTTGGTAAAGAGCTGCATTGTTGGTATAAAGTCAATTTTTATCTATCACCAGTGGCGTAGTTAGGCGTCAGGCAGTCGACGTTTTTGTCATAAAATGTAGAACGCCAATGGATTTTAAAATTTTTTTATTATTTTCGGAGTCGTCGAACATTTTACAACAAAAAAGGTATCATGAATTTTTTGCCTAATACTTACTAACCTATTAAAAAAATGGACGGTAACTATAAACAACAATAATAGAAATAATCAGTTTCGACACAAAATCAAAGCAGATGTTAAAAACTTTCTGAAAAAACTCATTAATTAATCATTATTTACACCTCTTTTGCACGATCAAATTGTTCCAGCATTGATTCGTTTACTTCCAAACCAAGCAAATTCTGGAGTACTCTCAAATGGCATTTGGTACCCACAAGATGGACCTCTGCCTCATTATGGAGCTGACTTGCATCGGTACCTAAATAAAGGATTTCCACAGGGATGGATAGACCGAAGAGGATATTTTGAATGGCTACCGCGATCGCCAGATTTAAGTCCGTTAGACTATTTCCTTTGGTGTCATTAAAAATTTGTTGTCTACAAGACTAAATCTCACTCGTTAGATGAGTTGGAAGATCTAATTAGGATGGCGGTTCAAGTAATATCACACATGCCATTCAAAATTCCTTAAGAGCCTTCTTTGAACGCTTAGGATATAGTCAGGCTGCCAAAGGTAACCAATTTGATCATTTATTATTAATCTTTTTTTTTAATATTCAAGTGCTCCATATTTTGCAATAACAAATTTCATTTTCATTAAATCAAATTTTCATTGTTTTATTCAACATTAAAAAGCAATAAATCGCAGATCATTGTAATCGGTGAAAATCTGTCTTTCTAAAATTGTTAAAATAAATAGGGCGGTCCATTTAAAAAGAAACTGCCAACAACGCCGTGTCTCTAAACATAAAGTAGATGAATAATTGCTGTGTGTAATACGTATGTATTCTAAAATTTTGCGTAATTTCGGTGAACTGAAGCAGGTTGTATATTTAAGATTAGGCAGAGGTTTGTGTCCAGCAAATAGTGAAGCTGGACCTGTCCATGTTTCTAATTTTCCAAATGATGAAAATTTAAACAAGTTGTGGATTTCGCGCTAATTTTGTTATAACTCTTGAGAATAGAATAGCATTCTTGAAATATTAAAGATATAAAGAAATATAAAAGATATAATTACGGAAAAATGCTTAACAAAATGTTAAATATTCCATTTTGACAATTACAAATACAAACAGTAGTAGTGAAATGATTTTATTTTACTTATAAACCATTTTCCACATAAATACAAACATGTTAAAGATAAGAAATAAACAGGGATATTTATGACTTGCTGGTAGGTAGGTGCATACAAACAAATGATTTTTTTTATCACATTGTATTTTTCTCTAATTTTAGTTAATTGATAAATTCTTTTATGTATAAGTAATAAAAATCTAATATCTACATCTATAATACAATGTTATTGAAAAATAGAGTATATTGTATATATATATATATACAGTGTGTTCAAGATAAGGATGGGATAGCATTAGGATCTAGGAAACGGTAAGAGATACGGGGTGGCTCAAATTAGAAAAAAGTTGTGGTTTTTTATACCTAACAATATGCCGTTTTAAAATTCCGGGTAGTTCCGGAGATATCCGGAAAAACTTGTAATTTTGCAAAATCGTTTTATTTTTTTCTGGCTTTATTTAAAAACGAATTTTGAAATAAACTGCATATTTATATTGCCACTTTTTTCGCTCTATCCAATGGCGTCAACATTTTTGTAATCCTACGTTTCGTCTTCAAGGGGTCATCATGAGGTTAATTTTTTTAAATACGTCGCTATTTTTATGACAAAATCTAGTCATTTTTAATTCTGAATTAGATGATATTACTATTGTAATCGCTTAAAAAAGATTTTAGCTTGTTTTAGCTATTATTCAAAATTTTTGCTGAGTACGGCTCTGAATGCTTTCAAAATATCTATGGGAGGAAGTCATAACAGTATAAAAGTCAATACAGCACAAAATATCCAACAAATTTTTTTAATCAATAACAAAAAAGTTGTACACCTATTAAAAAATAATACGAATTTATGAAATGTTTTATTATTTCTAATTAGTAAGTATTGCTAGTAGTAGTAAAAAAAATTGTTGGATATTTTGTGCTGTATTGACTTATACTGTTATGATTTCTTCCAATAGATATTTTGAAAGCGTTCAGAGCCGTACTCGGGAAAAATTTTAAATGATAGCGAAAATAAGCTAAAAACTTTTTAAGTAATTACAATAGTAACATCATCTAATTCAGAATTAATAATGACTAGATATTGTCATAATAATAGAAGCGACGTATTTACAAAAATTAACCTGATCATGGCTTCTCGAAGACGAAACGTCGGATTGCAAAAATGGTGACGCCATTGGATAGAGCAAAAATGTGGCAATATAGATATGCAATTTTTTTAAATTCGTTCTCAAATAGAGCTAGAAAAAAAAAACAAAACGATTTTGCAAAATTTTGGGTTTTCCGGATATCTCCGGAACTACCTGGAATTTAGAACTTTCTAAACGGCATATTGTTAGGTATAAAAAACCACAACTTTTTTCTAATTTGAACCACCACATATTTCTTACCGTTTCCTAGATCCTAATGCTATCCCATCCGTATCTTGGACACACTGTATATGTATATACATATATATAAAACTACATTAACATTGTTTTTTGAAATAAATAACTATGGTAAGGGGTTACTTGATCTAACAGTACAATATATTTGCATATATAAAATACAATACTGGCTTCTTTAAACAAAACAAGTCATTGAGAAAGTTCGTATTTTTTATAAACAACTCCTCAGTAATATAAAAAGTACGAAAACATAAATATTACTTTTAAATTAATTTATATATTCGTATAACAAAATTCTCTTTTATTCAGAAAATATAGTTTACACAAAAATAAATTAATTGATGTTTGCACTAAACTGTTTAAAGATGAATTGTTATAGTAACTAAACCTACAACTTCTTTAATTGTTTGACGTAAGATATATAATATTTTTAAATAGAAAATAGTTGCGATAAATAATGGCTGCATTGGTGTGTCCAAAGGTAAATTACATATGATTAACAAATAAATATCAATCAACTTTTTTACTGTAGTAGTTTGGACAAATTTCTCCATTTCGCTGTTGGAATTTTTCTTCTGGACTTAAACTGAATAAACTAGTAAACTCAGCCTTCTTCCTCGCATAAGTAACAAAATTTTCTGAAATGTAAAACAATAAATTATTTATGTTATTTTTCTTAGGCGATGTTGTTTATCAATAAATTTTTAGTTTTTTTATATTTAGTCTAAATATTATTCTGCATTCGATTCATCCAGTCCGCCATAAACTGTCATTATCTGCATGTTTAAGTTTTTTCATTAAAATATGAACCAGGGTGTGGATCTAAATTTAATAGCTTTACCATTTAGTAACCAGATCCGGATTCATATTTTCTGCGATTGAAATAAAATTTATATGATCGTTTATAAGGATGGTCTCAGATGATAATTATACAAGACGAGTCATTAATAACGGTACACAGCTTAATGGCAGATTGTTAACGTCAACATATAGTGATTGGGTCAAACATGCCTTAGTCAATTGTTGTTCTTTTCGTTCTACAGGGTGTTAAAGTTGAAAAAATATTTTCGATTTTTTGCTATATTTTAAGTACCTATGTCAATTCATTGAAGTTAGGAAACAAACAATTTTTGTATTACATGCTTCTATATAAAATTGTAATTTCTTGGGTGAAGTTATTGGGTTAAAAATTGATAAATGAAAATCATGTTTTAGAAAATTGTGACTGGAGCCTAGTTTTAAATATTAATATAGATGAACAATGAAATACATAATACATGAAAATAAAATAATTATAAACTAGGATCATGCTAAAAAGTATCTTTTTTTGAGATCAATACCTACCAAATGTTATGTATCCGAGTTGATTTCTATCTACTTGATCAAATACTTCTAAAGCATATTCTTTACTCAAAGCTAAAGTTTGACATGCCGCCATACAGAAGTCTTCTGGTGATAATCTACCATACCCACTGCGATCATATATCTAGAAAATAAACATAATTGTTAATGAATCATAGTGTAGTAGTTGTGTTCACCTTTTGAAAAATTACACAGCTCCACAAAATAAAAAAAAGTATCGGATCTGGTATTCAAAACCATGTATTTCCATGTATTTTTTCCGCTGAATCCGAATCTGCCTTCCGATTTGGGCCAACGGGTCTGAGTTTTCGGAAAAATTAAAAAAAATCACAAAAATCGTAATTTACGATCGACGAAAGTTATAAAAAATCAAATTATTCTACTAGCTCACTAGACGTATGATTTTTCACTCGTTTAATTCCAATTTATCATCATAAGAGTCAGACAAGCTGGTCCAATTTCATTCAAAAACAGAAAATAGATTAAAAACACCATTTTCATGGCATAATTCGTGTTGCAGAGTTCTAGATCCATCTTTTATCCACCCACCCATTTATGAATTCATACATCTTTCTATTATCCACCTGTACCACCTATAAAATCCACCCATCTATCCATCTACTTTTTGTACTGAGAGATGAGATAACAGCCTAGAAGATGGAGAATACAATAAAACTTGTAGAATACTCTACTTTCTAAACAAAAGAAAACGATATCTACAAATCATTCTTATTTTTGTTGCTATAACGTGTTCTTTTTTCTTCAAAGGATCTATGCAGAGTTACGCTTTCGTTTAGTCCCTCTATTTTTCGTTTCTCTTTTTAACAACCAACAAAAATCGGCCATCATGTTTTCATCCCATCTTCCTTGATATCGCTGTTCTATAACCTTCATATCCTGATGAAATCGTTCGCCTTGTTCCTCGCTATAATCTTCAAGATTTTCAGGAAACCAATCCAGATGTGAATGAAGGAAGTGCAACTTGTAGTTCATCAAACATGCCAGATCTTGGAAGTTTTTTATCATTTTCGATACAATTTCTTCGTATTTGTTTTTTCCTAAAAAAATTTTCGCCCTATATATATAGGGCGAAAATTTCCGAATACTTCTGAGGCGAAATTGAAAGAAGCTGTATTCGATGGACCTCAGATTCGGACATTGTTCAAGGATGCAACATTCATCACTACAATGAGTAACGTTGAGAAGAGTGCTTGGACTAGTTTCAAAGCTGTAGCGACAATTTTTTTAGGAACCAAGAAGAGTCCTAAATACGAAGAAATTGTATCAAAGATGATAAAAGACTTCCAAGATCTGGGATATTTGATGAACTACAAGTTGCACTTCTGTCATTCACATCTGGATTAGTTTCCTGAAAATCTTGGATCTTGGCGAAGAACAAGGCGAACGATTTCATCAGGATATGAGTTATACATAGAACAGCGATATCAAGGAAGATGGTATGAAAACATGATGGCCGATTTTTGTTGGTTGTTAAAAAGATAAACGAAAAATAGAGGGACTAAACGAAAGCGAAAACCTTTGCATGGATCCTTTGAAGAAAAGAGAACACATATAGAATGATTTGTAGATATTGTTTTCTTTTGTTTAGAAAGTTTTATTGCTCTCTCAATCTTCTAGGCTGTTATCACATCTCTCAGTACAAAAAGTAGATGGATAGATGGGTGGACGGGGTGGGTTTTATAGGTGGTACAGGTGGATGAATAAATATGCGTATTCATGCATGAACGACTGGATAGAAAGATGTATAAATTCATAAATGGGTGGGTGGATAAAAAGATCGATCCAGAAATCTGTAACACGAATTATGCCATGAAAATGGCGTTTTTAATCTATTTTCTGTTTTTGAATGAAATTGGACCAGTTTGTCTGACTCTATGATGATAAATTGGAATTAAACGAGTGAAAAATCATACGTCTAGTGAGCTGGTAGAATAATTTGATTTTATTTTTTATAACAGTCGTCTATCGTAAATTACGTTTTTTTGTGAATTTTGACCGGTTTTTTTAATTTTCCCGAAAACTCAGACCCGTTGGGCCAAATCTGAAGGCAGATTCGGATTCAGCGGAAAAAGATACATGGAAATACAAGGGTCTGAATATCAGATCCGATACTTTTATTCAGGCCGAGTTCCGTTTGAAGACCGCTGCTGTAATCCGTCGATAATAAGAAAAATTTTGCATATGACACTGAAATTAATATAGTGTAATTTACGCATACGTTTAGAAAATGTCTAAATATTTCAGAAACAACTCTGGCTTCTAATAGTTTATGACTCAGTACATCATTAATGGCTTAGCTACAAGTTTTTCGAAACACAATTATCATATGAAGATGTAGGTTAGGTATAGTTACAAAAACGCTTAGGGTCTGCGCGCTAATCATCAGCACCGTAACGCAAATGCTGGCACCAGCTCAGTAATTATTAATGCTCTTGCGATCGGAGTCAGTCTGAAATGAGGTTTTACTCTATATGTGAAGCAATTTCAATAAAATCTAAAAAAAAACTATACGCAATAAACTTAAATTGTGTATTTCAAAGCTTCACCTTTATTCATGTTTATAACTGAGCCTTTTATAAATACCTTCTATGCAAGAGAAATAAGTTCGACAATACATTTATAATTTGTAAAACACGAGAGGCCAGAACAAAATAAACAATGTCGAACTTGTGTTTCAGAACAACTTTTCTCACAATCAATTACCCACACTAAACTGATACCAAAACATAAGACACTTTTAGAAACACAAGGATGACAGTTAAAAAACGACTAATTCTAACGTTGGTTCTAAGGCCAACTTGTAGATACTGTTGAATATAAGTGGGAGAGACGGCCTGGTCTTCATCACTCTTTCCAGTTAAGTAAACGATAATGTGAAGTTTATAGTTAATTTTATCTAGTGTCTTTTTCCTAAATTTTGTCCAAATGTATCAATTTCGTAGTATTTTGAAGCGCTGAAAACAACGCCATTAGTAAAATTTACCTAAGAACTCGCTATTTCTCAGAAAATTCACTATTTGGGTGAAAACTAGCTCAAATATGGGTCAGAATTGATTTTTTTCATAATTTTTGTCCAAATATATTATTTTCGTAGTATTTCGAGGTGCTGAACATGATGACATTAGTAAAATTTACCCTTGACCTCGATATATCTCAGAAAATCCACTATGTGGGTGAAAATACTACGAAAATGATACAGTGCGTTCCAATAGTCCCGGATATATATCTGGATTAATAGTGAGTTTTAGGTAAAGTTCAGATATACTTCAGAAAATACATTCCTTTTGTCATTTTTTGACGTATAAACAAATGTTTACATGTAGGTTCGCCCCTAGCCCCCCACAAGGTTCCCCCCATTTTTTTAAATTGCACATATGGCTTGTGATAGTCATTCGAAAGATAATTTAATTCTTTTTACGATAATGTAAAGTTTTCTGAAAATTTTTAAAAAACAAAGGAGTTATAGGAGTTTTCTTAAATACAAACGTTTATTAAAAAATATAAAAGAAAAAATAACACAATTATGCGATTATACTTTGAATAAAAAATCTATTTTAATAAATGTTCAAACTTCCCCACCCTCAATATCCCAACCTATAGTAGAACGATGTTACAACGTTAATTAAAGTTTCTCCAATAACTTCTTGCGATTCTTCAAATAATCTGTTCCTCAAGTGGTCTATATTTAATGGCTTTGTTTGATAAACATTATTTTTTAAGGAAAGCCTGCTGGCCATCCAATAGCACTCCTTCTCCCAATCCATCTATTAGGAGACATTTGATACAGGAATTGCCGAACTCCAATAGCAAAATGAGGTGTTGTACCATCCTGCTAGAACCACATTCTGTCAAAATTAATGTCTAAGTTTTGTAAAGCATGGATAATTTGATTAGTTCTTTTGGACATTTAAGTTACCATCAATTACAAACGGACTAATAATGGTGGTACCAATAATACCAGCTCACGTATTTATTTTTTTGAGGTTTCTGGGTATGTTCTTCTCTCATCCAGTGAGGATTTTGATCACTCCAGTACCTCAAATCGTGACGATTGACTAAACCATTAACAGTAAAAGTACATTATAGACCAGGCAAGTTAGACAATAAATCAGAAATTTTTTTCTGATGAACCGATCGAGTTGCGGTTTTCGGCATTGTCTTCCGAAAAATATCAGGAAAATAGTCTATCTATTACACTTTGGGGCTGGATCTAAACTGCATTGCGGGTGCATAAACTGCATCTTGGAGTGCATCAATTTTTTCCGAATTTTCTAAAAATGGTAAAAATTGACTAAAAGTTGTAGAAAGTTGGTTTTCGGGGTCGGAGATTCCGAATCTGACCCTGAAAAATATGCCCGACGGCCCTGGGCCCCCCCAGGGGGGCAAGGGGGGAGCCTTCTGTAAAACATCGAATAGCTGAGTAATTGCCTTCTAAATTTCCACTCGGGGTTTTTGGGGTCGGGGATTCCGATTCTGACACTGAAAAGTATGCCTGACGCCCGTGGGGTGGGCTTTCTGGAAAACATCGAAAGGCACATCAGATTTTTGCAATAAAACTGCTCCACTCGCTTACCAACCATGATCTTGTAGGCTTATCTTTACATTGTAACACACGTAAATTTACAGAGATTAGACAAGAAGGGTAAGAAAAACTAACAGGAAATTAATGAGTCGAAAAGAATCCCCTTTATTCTGAGAACCAATTTTCTTTTTATTTGCAAGGCAATTCGTGAGACAACTACTATCATACGTTTTTCTAACACTTTCACTATCAATCACAATTTTCATCATCAGTACTGCCATCACTGTCTCCATCACTATCATCTATTACATTTTCGACTATTTCAGGATTGGAACAAAACAAAACAATTTGTACATGCAATTATGCATGTAATTTCATGCTTTCTGCACCCACAAGGTCTGCATTGTCGATAATCGAATTTTGTCGCCTAATTGTTATGCATTATCCGCGGTCGCACGGGCCCAAGAGATTCCTTTGAAAATCCATAATCCATGAAATATTCTTCGGTTTTAAGGAATATTTCTTTGATTTAACGAAATGTGTCTCTTGGGAACGGATTGTCCAGGATTTCTCCAATTCTACGACAATTTTTCTCAGTGATAGACAAGCTAAGATTAACCGATATTTTCCAATGTCAGATTCGGAATCCCCGACCCCGAAAACCCCCGAGTAGAAATTTAGAAGTCAATTACTCAGCTATTCGATGTTTTACAGAAGGCCCCCCCTTGCCCCCCTGGGGGCCCCAGAGACGTCGGACATACGTTTCAGTGTCAGAATCGAAATCCCCGACCCCAAAAACCCCCGAGTGGGGATTTAGAAGGCAATTACTCAGCTATTCGATGTTTTACAGAAGGCCCCTCGCTTGCCCCCCAGGGCCGTTGGGCATATTTTTCAGGGTCAGATTCGGAATCTCCAACCCCGAAAACCCGTGCACACAAATTTCTACAACTTTTAGTCAATTTTTACGATATTTAGAAAATTCGAAAAAATTGATGCACTTTATGCACCCGCAATGCAGTTTCGATCCAGCCCCAAAGTGTAATAGATAGACTTTTTCCTGATATTTTTCCGAAGACAATGCCGAAAACCGCAACTCGATCGGTTCATCAGAAAAAAATTTCCGTATTCTGGGCGATTTTGGTCTAACTTGCCTGGACTAATTAGTCGGAAAAACAAATATTAAATATAAAGTTAGAGTCTTGGTCAACTTTTTTGCCATTATTGTTTCACAGAAATCAAGCCTTCAATCATAATCATCAAGCCTTCAATCAAGCCTTCAATCATAATCATCTTCACTTAACTGTTGCAGTAATTAATGTATTTTGTAAGGTTTATAAGAATTTGTTTTTAAAATTCGGCAAATAGATGATCTACTACTTGCATCATTTTCTCCAGCAGCCTTACGCACAGAAGTAAGAGGATCTTCCGCAAAACTCTGCAATTCAACAGCGTTATTATCATTAAAGTGTGTATACAATTTTTATTAAAATCTTAGTTGGGCGCTTTCGACTACATAGTCATCATCAGAGCTATTCGTTAAATTTTAGATACCAAAAAATATTTAGGAAACGTTGAAAATCTTAATAAGTTCGACATAACAATAAACAACGTTAAATATAACATCAATTACTGGTAAATAACAAGAGAAAGAAACAGAAATTGACTAACAATGTCGAACACGTGGAGTGAAATAAAGTGAGATTAAATGTTAAAATTTTGAAAAGCGCTCAGCTAAGATTTTAATAAAAAATTTATACACACTTTAACATACAAATTTCTTTGGCTTTTCTTTAAATCACCGAAGTGTGTACTCAAGATACAGTCGTTATTTATTAATCATTATCATTAGTTGCAGTTCCTAGGCGTCCTGATCGGGGCTTATCTTTCACGGTTCCAGTTTCTTCAAACTTTGTATTGTTTTGCACACAGTTGATTTTGACATTGGCATTCTGTTTGGAAACGTGTCATTAAATAAATGAACCACTTGATCGAATGACATTTTTGAGGTCGCCATATTGTCTCATCATCAAAATCGTTATACTTTCTCTTTCATTTAAGCCATATTTGATTAAATAATTAATTACAAAGTTACTTTATTATAAAATGACAAATGCGGTTTCCATTATTATTACCTAACAAACTTTATTTAATTAAATAACTTTTTGAAATGGTGTTTAATGTTGGTTCATTTAAAAAATAGCGTGACTCCTTTTTTTTCTAAAATTTTCCAAAAAACTTTACATTAGTGTAAAGAGAATGACATTATCTTTCAAATGACTTATCACAAGCCATACCGTGCAATTAAGAAAACTACCTTGTGGGGGGTAGAGGGGTGGGGTAATTGTAAACATTTGTTCACGTCAAAAAATGACAAAAAGAATGTATTTTCTAATGTATATCTGAAATTTACCTAAAACTTACTATTAATCGAGATATCTTGCTGCTCTGGGACTTTTGAGACACAGTGTATACAACTTAGCCAAAAAAATTTGGGAATAGATGCAGCATGAGAAATGGAGTTAATAACGCAAAAATTTGTTTTGTAAAATCCTTATAGTTTCCAAGAAAAAAATTATTGAAGTTATAGTACATTGAACCACTACATAGCTGGATAACTGTAGTCTCTAGCGTCATTCGCAATACGCGTGGGAGCCATGTGACTCCTAATACTGAAATCCGTCGTTGCGGTAGTTTTTACCTGTAATTTGTGGTGTTTACAACAGTTTTTTAGTAGTTAGTGTGAAAAACGATTTGCATGTATAGCAACTCAGAGTTGATGGATATCGTTTTAATTTATGGTGAAGCAAAACAACATGTGTGTTAGTTCGTAGAAAGTGAGTAAAACGGACCCAAATGTGTTTACACGTTAGTGGTTAGTGGATAAAATTTTGAACAATTGTTGTAACATCGGGTATGTCAAATGATTTTATTATTTAAAAACACAAATTAATTTTATTAATAATTAATAAAGGCAAAAGCATTTGAATTTGCCGATATAAAATAGGTGCTATAAAATTCTATTTATTTCTTTCCTTGCGAAAGTTTTTGTCCGTTTTTATCACACCGCCATGCCGGTCGCATTGTGCGTCGTCAGGATTTACAGTGGACCAGTTTCCAGTGCCGTGCAGAAGTGTATTTTTAAATCAATTTCGAACTGCCCTTTTTGATTTTTTCTTTACAAAATTGTATTTATAAGGGTCCCCTGTACATCCAGAATTTTTTTGAGCCATATTTGGGTTAGATTAGGTTAGGTTAGGTGGATTTTCTGAGAAATGTCGAGGTCATGGGAAAATTTTAATAATGGCATCGTGTTCAACGCCTCAAAATGCTACGTAAATGATAAATTTGAAGTGAAGTCATACATTTTGACTACAGGATCCTGTTCAGTGCATCGAAGTCCTTCGGAAATAATATGTGGCTATCTTGAGTTTGGACTTTTTTTGTGGCTGTGTTGTCGATTACTCTTAGTTTAGCCTAAATTAATCAGTAAAACAATTAATACTTCGTTGGTAATTTAACAGATTTCATGTTCATGCGTTAATATTAAACAACAGTACCGCCTTATTCTGAAATACCCTAACAAAATTATTTACACTGCCTTCGATCTCGATGTATTACGCTTTATAATAATAGAATAAAACTCATACATTTTTGAAATGCTCAAGCGTTTTGTTTATTTGGGCAAAAAATAAATGCTCTGTTATTCGTTAGGATTCAGACAGTTACCATTACCACAGGAATAATACGAGTATTTTCCTGAAATAACTTGTGGCCTACAAAGCATTCATATGCACAAACAAAACCTTAAAAAAGTTATGACTGGTACATATGTAAGTAGGTCAGATGATTTATAATCATATTTAAAGTATTACAATGAGTTAAATAAAACTCACATACAGGGATAACCATTTCTCCTGATATTGCGTATTACTTTGCACAAATAAATTTCAAAATTCAATGAATCGATAAATAATAGTTTATTTCTTCATACTCACTTTACATGCTATTTGAAGCACTTCCAATGTACTTCTATCTTTCGAAATGCCCAAAACACCAAGTAAATATTCCCTAAAATCTAATACGCCAGTGTTATGCTAAAAATAAAGAATTTTAAAATATCTCAGTTGTTACGTAAGCGATTATTTGCTTATTTACCTTATCATATATTTTAAACAGCTGGTACGCTATTGTATTTTCTGTAGAAATATTTAATAGTCTTGTGAATTCTATATATGTAATCCTGCATATCTGCATCCTCTTCTCACATATAAAACTCGAATTTAAAAAACTTTCTTCGATATTGGTATTTTCTAAGCTGAAAAAAATTGTGGCACTAAGTATATTTGTATTTTTATTTTTAAGATTGTTATGAGATGTATCATACATAATGGAAAAAGCTGAAGTCAAAATAAATTAATTGAATCAAATGTATTTTCTTTTTCGAGAAGCATTTGATTAAATAAGATTATGATATAGCAAATTTACATACAGTCCACAAACATTATCAAATATCAGACATATATCTTTTTTAAATTGACGTTCTGTATGAAAATTAGTCAAAATCTATATTAAAATTATAATAAAATTATCAGTTGCAAAGTATTTTCTTGTAGATTTTTCGAGAAAATGCCATTTTCGACGAGAAAAAATTATTTGCTTATTTTGTGATGTCAGTGGTGAAACTTGTTAATATACAGGATGATTCAGTTTCCGATGCGGAAACTTCAGGGATCGCTAGAGATTAAAAAAATAATATGAGTTTGCTATACATAATATAAACCATATTCGAGAAATGCTTCGTTAAGGAAATATAAGGTATTCAAGTATAAAAAAAATCAACTTTATTAATTGTTGCCAAACGACAAAATATATTTCTATGAAATATGTAGACATTAACTACTATCGAGGGAGCACGTTTTGCAGTGAAAACCATTAGGTATTTTTAGTTTTACTAATGGCGTCCATACTAGAACGTTACTGGATATTTCGAAAGAAAAAAAAATCAGTTTTGGATTCTTCATGCAATTTGGAGGAAAAAAGCTCTCTTTCAATTTTTCTGTACGACTCAGCGTGTTCAAAGTGAACATCAATTGAGCAAGCATTAGTAATATGATTTGTAATGATTGTTATTGTTATCGTTATTATTAGTGTTACCCTGAAAAATGCTTTTTAATAATGCAGAATACGCAGACATTCATTGTCGTTGCGGATTTTGTGGTGGAAATGCGGAAGCGGCAGTTCGTGAATATCGAAGACGATATCCAAATAGAAGAATTCCAGATGCTCGTGTCTTCATTGGAACACATCAAAACTTTCATATCTTTGGCATGCGTGTTAATAATGAATATAACAGAAGCTGTCACAATAACAATCGGAAATCATATTCTTCGTACTTTTGATGACAGTTTTCGCAGGACAGTTCAGCAACTACAAATATCTAAGTCTCAAATATTACGAACATTACGAGATGACTCAAGCATGCATATCACCTACAGCTCATTTATGCCCTGTGGATGTTGAAATGTGAATGAGGTTTTGCTAGTGGCTTTTAAACTCGACGGAAGAAAATCCTGACTTTTCGCACAAAATCCTGATAAATTCAGTAGATGTGAAATAACGAATTACCATAATATCCATGTTTAAGCACACGAAAATCTTCGAGAAATTCGCATCATTGGATTGGCCGGCTAGGGAGGAATGACATGAATCATGACGTGGTTAATGGTATTGGACCAGTGGCCGAGCCACCCAGGTCACCGGGTCTTAATCCACTGGACTTTTGCGTTTCGGAAATGTAAAAGACAAAGTTTACGCTGCTCTAGTAACAAGAGATAATTTAGTTTTAAGAATTCAGCAAGCCTGCAATGATATGCGGCGAAATCCAAATGAAGTATGTTGCAATAAATTCATTAGTTACACGATGTCGAAAATGTATTGAGGTGGGTGGATTACATTTCGAGCAATTTAATTTTTTTTTACTCGCAAACGCGATGGTAGTACGTCTACAAAATTTCATTGACATATCTTTAGCCGTTTACAACAATTAATACAGATTTTTTTTAATTAATCTTGAACACCTTGTATTTTCTTAACAAAGCATTTCTCGAATATAGTTTATATAGCGAACTCATATTATTTTTTATTGGTCCCTGAAGATTCCGCATCGGAAACTAGACCATCCCGTATACAAAGCGTTGTAAAAAAAACTAGATCAAATTTTCCTTACTACTTACTATTTATATTTATCCCAACCTTTTTGTAACAGTTATTCGAAAATCGAAGAGGTACTTCAAATACAGAGATTAATTAAAAGCCAGCAAAAGTTAAATCAAACCTAATTTATTTGCTCAACAGAAAATAAATCCATTTTCAGCACAAAATTTATAAACAAAAAATTTTTTATTAGAAATAAAATAAAAAAGAAAAAGCATTTATACGCCACCTTAATACATAAAAATGTGATAGTCAATTAAATTAAAATTTTAATTATCTAGAAAAGACAAAAACACAGCAAAGAGAAAAGAAATTATTATAATTGGAAAGAATTTCCGATAATTAGCTCTATTTATGATCATAGAGTTAAATAAAAAGTTTTATTTTGCCTAGAACAAAAATTAGGGGCTAAGCTTAAAATTTATTTAAAAATAGTACAGAATAAAGTTTTAGGTGTTTTCTTGTGATCTCAAAGGACATTATTCATTGCGCAAGTCAGTAAATACCCAAAATATAGTAGGTATAAACCATTAAAACAAATAGAAGACATACATATATTTAATTGTAATTAGGAAAAACGGGAAAATTTAAAAAAACAGCAATTACCTATATAGGGTACATATTTAGTAAAACACAATGTAGAGCATTTGTTTAAAGGACTATAAAAGCCGCAAAAAATGGATTTCGAAAGAAGATTACGGCACTAATTTGAACGAAGTTAATTTCGTGCAACTTTTATTTGAAATATTTTTTTGTATTATCGAGCAGAAGAATATGTCTTACGTTGAACACCCTGTATGTAGATACTTATAGCTCTATACTTTACAGCGTGATTAAATATGAAAAACAGCTTACCCCAACGTCCGTCTTAACTTTCTAACTTCGACTAAAGATGTGGCATATGGCAGGTTCATTTCTTTGGCCTTTGTCATCAATTTGCAATCATCGTAAGAGTAATCGACTACTGGAACTCCTAATGCTCTGCAACAGTTTTGGACAATAAACACTTATTTTATATAAAACATATTTATTTACTTAGCCATTATAGCCCTGACATTGTTTGCGAACAATTTTGGATCACGTTTCTCTTCTTCGCTTGGAGTGTATACGGGCAAAAATTCAATTTCGCAGTTGCTATAGGGCTGGGTAAGTGTGAGCCATAAAAGCTTTAACCTGAGAGAAATATTTATTAATAGTATAGTCTGTTTAGAAATGAAAGAGAGTAATAAAAGCTCATTATGTATGCAAATCGTAAATAAATGTAGTACTGGTGCTTATATTCAATATTTTTATATTGTGTATTTTCCGTATAGATGAGGTCTACTTTTAACAAAACTTTGTGCGATCGGACTGTACTAAATTGTAGCAGGTAGCTAAAATTTAATCCCCGACAATCCGTCTTTATCTATGTCGCTTCAATTTCTCGGTCCATTTCTCTTATAAGTAAACAATATAAAAACAGCATTTCAAAACATGAGGCTATTTTGAGCATCATAACCGGGTTAAGAGGGTGTTTAGTAATTCAAATAAAATTATTCAATATTATTATCAAAATATTTATTTAAATTTAATGAATAGACTTTTATTCCACACAAAAGTATATGTATTTTAAAAATTCAAATTATGGTGAGTAAATGTAGTGTTGTATAAATGTACAATAAAGAAAATAAAAAAGTAGGTATATTAAAATACATCCTCTGAATATTCTGATGAATTATCTTCGTCTCCTAGATTGATAACGATAGGTTCCACAGTAACGTCAATTAAATTATCGAGTTCCCACGTTTTCTCCTCTTCTTTTTGTACATGATGTATACATCTGTGCCAGTTATCTGCAGTTACTCGTTCCAAGGAATTTTTTAACAAAATTTTCACGTCTCTTAATTTAAACGTCGTATTATTTCGCGCTACATCTCCTTTTACCTGCGCCCAGACTAATTCGATTGCGGTAAGTTCACCGTAGTACCGTTATTTGGCGATTTGTTGCCATTTCATCGATAACATATTTTTTCTGATCTTTATTAAGATTGACAAGTGTCAAAAGTTCCTTTTTCACCATATTTGTTTCAAAAGAAATGTTTTTTCCGGATAACCATTGAATTATATCGGCTTTCCTCCAAGCAATCGTAGGCGTCCGCTCGGTCTGCCGTGAATGGTATTATCCATGACAATTACAGACTCCGGAGGAATAAGATCCAACATCTGTGTAAAATACTCTTCGAAAACATCTGCGTTCATGTCTTCGTGATAGTCACCTGTATTTTTAGATTCAAATAAAAGTAAACCGCCATCTACAAAACCACTGGCACTACCTATATGTGTCACTATTAATCTTCGCCCTTTACCTGAAGGTGCCTTGAACACTGTTGAAAGTCCATCCAAAAATGCTTGTCGAAAACTTTTTACATTTTTATCTTGCCATACTTTTGTTACAGTATATCCCTCGTTGACCCAAGTTTCGTCTAGATAATAAATATTCCTCTCTTCGTCACGGAATTTTCTAATTGATCTTAAGTAGGATCTTCGCCAACAAATAATTTCATCTTTATCGATAAGAACTGACTTCCTGTTCTGCTTTTCCCAGCAAAAATTCAACTCTCGTAAGACGGCCCATAATTTGCTTCTACTGATTTTTGGCAAATCGTTGTCCTCTGAAAGTTCACTTAAAGTTTTGTTTAGCGTTGGTATTTCTTATTTAAAATAAAATGAGTGTACTTTAGTCACTAAACACAAGTCGAATTTTACTCTACTGCACTAGCACGTCTTCGTATATTCAGCTCTAAGACTGGATTGATCTGCCACAATACACTGGCTCCTGCCCTATGATGTATCCAGTAAAATATACTAATGTACACCCATTACCTGTTAGCATTAGTGTTACCCGATAATTACCTGAAACGAATCTTATCTCGGGGTTTTATTACTCTCTTTCATTTTCAAACAGAGTATAGTTGATAGGCATTCATGACCAGTGATAAAGTACGATGGTTTTTCGGTTTTTCAGGTTGTTATACCATGGCCTATGTACCTAGTCGCTGCCAGTTACAGAATGACATTTCACTGTCTTAGTCTTAGCTAGCAGTCCTTGACCTATTTAGTGACGACTTTGTAAATTCTTCGCCGTGGCTGAGAACAACAAAGTCTGGACAAAGATTCCTAGCTGATTGTAAGGAAGTAAAACGTAATTTTGTATAAGTAGCTGTACACAGCACAACGTAGCAACCCGAAAAGCTATCGTACTTTAAAATGTTCTTTTTATTGGGTGGGGGCAGGGGGGGCGACGAAATTATACAGGGTGAGTCATAATTATATGTAAAAAATTTAAATCGAAATTTCTTCTCGCCGAAACAAAATAAATGGTCAAATAAACCTTTGTTCCAAAATGCTGAAGTAAAAAAATAGTGTTTTCTTAATAGTTGCAGAACGACTTAACAGAAACATGGTGCAGTCAATGTCATGAACTTGTCAATTGCTACACTATGGTGAACCTTTAAAAAATGTTGCTTTCATTTTACTATAAAAAAGTGTTCCAATTAAAAATAATATGGATTTACAAAAAAATACACCAAAATAAAAAAAATACAGAAAATAAACAATATTAGAATTAAGGAACTATAGCAAATGTTCGAAGTGTCCACCTTCAGCCATAAGTGTTAATTACTTCGCGATAAATCCGTTGCTTTAAAAATCCCCATAAAAAGTCATCTAGTTGATTTAAGTCTGGACTTCTTGAAGAAATCCAGCTACCACCAAAATGATTACACCGGTACACAAAAACTGTATTTTGATTTGACTCAATAGGCTTTATGTACTTTGGCGTGCTAAATCCGAATCTGAAGTCCGTTTAGCTCAAACACCCCCAAAATATTACAATTTTTTTTTGAACTTGGTCATCTGCATCCAAATCTGAAGTATTTTAAGCTTCATTCCCCCCAGATTTTGCAAAAATCGCAAAATAATAGCGAAAAATCATCAAAAATCACTTTAGTGAGCGGGAAAAAATCGCAAAAATTTTTTCTGACCTTGATCGTCTATGGGCTGTATCCCCCACAGAATTTGATCACCAGATCTGAATAAATATGATATCTTTCTCTGGGGGTCTTTAAAGGAATTTGTTTATTTTGCACCGGTTGTATCTGAAGCAGATTTATGAATATCCTATAATAAAATCAACCCCATAAAAAATTATCCACAGGGTTTGCGCAGAGTAGGGTAAATTGTATTAGAGAAAATGGTTGTTACTATTTAACGATATCGGTAGCGGTTAATGTTGAATTTGGTAATGTTTTATTTGTAAGGTTCACCTTTTTTAATATGTTAAAAACAAAATAAAGAATCTAATTTAATGAAATTGCTTTTTCTTGATACTCTTTTGTAAAAGTCAAAAATGACATCTGAAATCATAGCATCATAGCCTACTAGTCGTAAAACGGCATACTTTACTATTTGTCCGATTCAATTAGTAATGACGCAGTTTCACAAAATCCAGATTTTCTCAAAAACCGTTATTTTTTCGAAAAATTTTAAAGAATAAAAAAATGTTTAAAATTAAATTTCCTGTAATACGGGTAAAACTATTGACTAACTGGCATACTGATAAAAAAATCGATATAATTTTAAGGGCACCCTACCCCTAGTCCGGCCCTTATTGGACTTCCAACAAATTAATATTCTTATCAATTAAAGACAACAATATGTCCACAGAGTGGAAAAGAGGGAAAATATTTTTATTTTTTATCATTTTACGTGAAGAAGGCATTCAAATTTTTGCTTATCTTTAAAATGTGTTTGGCATTGAGAACTTTCATCTTGCATGTACAGGGCGATCAGAAAATCGGTAATTATAAAAATCATTCAAGAATAAACTGCATTTTTTAAACAATACGTACATATATGTTATTAAGGAAAGTTGCTTAGAATTGAAATTTGATTATAATTTCAATTTGAGTATGAATCGATCTACTTTAATAGAAACGGACAGTAAAATATTTTTATTACTCATTTTACGAAAAAAAGGCATTCTTGTTTAAAATTTTTGCTTGTCTTTAAAATGCGTTTGGCATGGAGAACCTTCACTTTGCATGTACAGGGTGATCAGAAAATCGGTAAATATAAAAATCGTTAAAGAATAAACTGCCTTTGTTTTATACCGAATTATTCCTGGAAAAGTATTGGACCAAAAATGTTTAAGAAAAAAAATATATTGTGAGACTTTGTAATCTGAAAATTCGAGATAAAACGAATTTATTATTATCTGGGTATAGACAGAAGAACATAAAATGACGTTTTATACTTACGCACTAGGGCCTTCCCAAGTCCATGTAACTGTATCTAATTTGTTGGGATATCGAATGCACACGGGCTGGATGGGAACTCCAGGATAGAATGCGCCTGGCTTGAACGTTATCAGGCAGGACCTATTGGTACAGGTTCCCTCTGGAAAGATTAATATTTGGGGCCAATCCAAGTCCGATGTAGCCCTATTTATAATCTCTTTTATTGTATTTTGACGGGAGTCGGGATCGTCTCTCCACACATATACGGGCTGGGTGAAGTTAATTAATTCTGCAAATATTCTTTATAAATAAATATTAACGCTACTCTTGAGCCAGTGGAAATCAAGAAAATCCTAAATATTTTATAGGGAATTCCCTATCTGTATCAATAATATTACAATAATTCATTCACGTGACGGGAAAGGGGGTCGGGTGGAGAGTTTTATATAATTTTGGAAACTTGGCAGTTCTGTATATTTTCCGGTGATCTTTTCAAATTTCAACTATGCTTGCTTTGCAAAACAAGTTTTTAGCGACTATCTCATTTCCAGTGTAATTTACGAAAAATGTAGGTGTTTAGTAAAAGGTTCCTATAATTCATGTTTCTTTCATCAAACACAAATGTGTCAAATATTTACAGATTATTTAGTGAAAATCTACAGCGCCAATTTGTATCGCATATTCGATGTGAAGCATAGGCGCATGACAATCTATTCGCATTTATCTCCTGAAATGTAAATAAAAATAGCTTTGGCAAATGAAGAAAGCTAAATAAAGTACTCATGGCAAAGGCAAAGTCTACGTCTTCACGCGCACTGATGGAACGACACATATTTTTATGCCGTCATCATCTGGTTTGAATTGAGGAAGTGTGAAATTCAAGTACACAAACTTTCTCCCTCCATTACAAAAAAATAACTCCAGGGCCGTATTGTACAAATAATGCCCTATTGCGTCAGTAGAAGGAAATACGTGACCGGGTAAAATGAAAAGGGTAAACAAAGCGAAAAATAAGTTTCTACCCCACTAAAATGAATTCTATTAGGTACAATGTTTATATTTTCAGAGGTCAAAGTTAGGACCAATAAATTTTGTTTAGAATAGATTGGTACATGTTAGTTACTGAAACATTATGAGCGAGATTGTATTATACTTGTACCGGGTTAATATCACTATTTATAAATTTCTTATTATGACTTAAAATTGTGGATTATACAGTGTATCCCACCGGGAATCGCCAAAATTTGAAAATTTGGCATGTCAGTGGGGGAAACACAACTAAAATATTTTTTAAGGTCATAGCACTTCCGGTTATACCGGAAGTCGATGTCATCTTCGTTATTCTAAAAGGAATACCCTATATATTTTTGCATTTTTAGATTCTACTTGAAATTTTAAAGTCACTTTGTATAACAAACTTAGTTCCTAAAATTTATAATTTTTGAAATATTGACATTTTTTGTTGTGCAGGATCCTTTGTATTTTATTCCACCAGTTAGATATCAATTTGAGATTCGGCGCAGTATAGAAAACAGTAAATTCACTGCCTATCTAAACTATTTATAAAAAATGCCGCGCAGGTAGGGGAACCTCAAAAGCTGGGCTTGTTGGTGGACTAGGGGCTGGGCTTGCTATTGCGCATAGACCACGCGTCCCTTAACTGGACTTTTAGAGCAGTGGGGTTGTGGTCCACAAAAGAGAGGGAGTTAATTTACTGTTTTCTATACTGTGGATTCGGTATGTGAATAGAACGCGTATGGAACAAACTTACACAATATCCAAAAATTAAAAAATATGATACCAAGTGTTTAATTTTCGACTGTACATTTTGATAAATTGAAAGACTTATAACTTTGTAAACTTAAATGGAACACCCTGTATTTTTTTTACCTATCTTGTGCAGAAATTAATGATCTTTTACGTGATTAGGCATTGCAGGGGCTGTAGTTACAACTTTTACTTTTAATTTTTAAATTTCACATTAACTTAACTTTATCAAGTGGCCTATGAGTAGGAACAATCGTTATTGACAATCAAGCCAGAATTTTGAATATTTATTGCATTAGAAATTTATCTAGTACCTATTGTATTTTGTTTTTAGTTTCATCTAGTTTTTATTTTAATTTCACTTTACCATAATAGTCGAGGAAATAAAGCACTAAAAGTGGCTTACCTCCGAAATCTGTGCAGTAAGATGGATCGTGATGCAGTTTTTTTGCATTCGATTCGTTAGAGCGTCCAGAAAGTTTGTGACCATGTGATCAATGAGTAATGAATCAGTGATGAATCAGCGCATAAGAAAAATGCATTTTTAAAATTGCACTCAAAGAGTTAAAAAATAAAAATATTTATAACTTGGAAAATATTGACGGAAATGAGTTCAATTTTGCTACTCGGGGGTTTTTGGGGTCGCTGAACACGAATATCACAACTGTAATGGTCTCCGAGGTACTGATGTCATCTTCATAAGCTTTATCGAATATCTAAATAAATTATCCGAAACATTTTTTTTTAAATTTGGCGCTTTTAACACAGTTGGTAGCATTGATGGAATTTTAGGTAAGGACTGCGATCACTGGCTGCTGCTTCCACGTTTGCACTTTCACAACTGCAGCATCGCGTGCAAAAATTGTGCAGGCATTAATTACACGAATAATGAAAAATATCCTGCAAATGACATATTTTCTTCGGAGTTGGAAACACTCGATGAAGAAGATAATGGAAATTAAAAAATTAAGTAAGAAAAATTAAAATTGTAAAGATATCTACTATAATATTTTTTGTAATTAATAAATGTATTTTTATAATAAAAAATAATTAAGAATAAAACAGTTGTCACAGAAAACAGCCATTCTGGATACTAGGTACCTCGAGGACCGTTACCATCGTGATATTCGTGTTGAGCGACCTCAAAAACCCCGAGGTAACGAGTTTCGGCGAAGTTTATAACCAATTTCCATAAAAGTCCAGGAGATGACGTGGAAACCGGCCACCCTGGGTACTAGGTACCTCGAAGACCGTTGCCGTCGTAATATTTGTGTTCAGCGACCCCAAAAACCCCCGAGTAGCAAAATTGAACTCATTTCCGTCAATATTTTCCAAGTTATAAATTTTTCATTTTTTAATTCTTCGAGGTGCAATTTTAAAAATGCATTTTTCTTATGCACCGATGCAATTTTCATTTCTCATTGATCACATAGGGTCACAAACTTTCTGGACGCTCTAACGAATCGAATGCAAAAAACCGCATCACGATCCATCTCACTACACAGATTTCGGAGGTTCAGTGTTTCATTTCCTCGACTATAATGTCCAACTACGTTAGAAGTTCGTTACACCAGTTCTTTGTAGATTCACGTCACTGTACAACCTGTAGAACCTAATATCAAATGTGTCTAACAAAATCAATGCCTAATTACCGTTTGTTGAAAAAATAATATCTATGTGGTATTTAATGTCCCTACTCATGTTCATACTCATTCATACTTATATCGTTTGCTTAAATGACATATTATGTAGTTGGAATTGTCCTAAAGGAAATAGAATATTGAAGTTTCTGCATTTTCATTATCAACAACAGGTAGTCCTCTATCTGGTTTTAGTATGACAGAGCCGAAATTTCGCTTTAGGGCTTTACTTTGTCTGAATATCGCACTGCAAATGTATCCCGTTCTTCATATTATTATTGCTTTGTTACATTGTCCGTAAATAATAAACAAATTTAAATAATTCTCATTAATAAAAATTTTACTACACACTATAAACTACAAATAATAATTTTACTCGTTGTTTGATAGTTTGATTGTCAATAACGATTGTTCCTACTCATAGACCACTTGATAAAGTTAAGTTAATGTGAAAATTGAAAAATAAAAGTAAAAATTGCAATTATCTCTAAAAGTTGTAATCACCGCCCCTACGAAGATAATTAATTTTTGCACAAGATAGGCCAAAAATACAGGGTGTTCCATTTAAGTCAACAAAGTTATGACTCTTTGAAGTTATCATAATGTACAGTCGAAAATTAAACACTAGGTATATCATATTTTCTAATTTATGGATATTGTGTAAGGTTGTTCCATACGTGTTCTACTCACATACCGAATCTCAAATTGATATCTAAGTGCTGGAATAAAATACAGAGGATCCCGCACAACCTTGCATCTGTCAAATTTTTCATAAAAATGTCAATATCTCAAAAACTATCAACTTTAGGAGCTAGGTTTGTCATAAAAATTGACCTTAAAATTTCAAGTAGAATCCAAAAATGCACAAATATATAGGGTGTTTTATTTAAAATAACGAAGATGGCGTCGACTTCCGGTATAACCGGAAGTGCTATGACCTTGAAAATATTTTAGTTGTGTTTCCCCCACTGACTTTGATAAGTTACCAAATTTTCAAATTTTTCAAATAAGTACTTTTCCAGATATCGATCACGGCGATTCCCGGTGGGGTACACTGTATACTGAAGGGCGAATCACAAAAAGAGTGATGAAGAAAACAAAAATATGTAGGGAGGAACATGGCCATCCACTGAGTGAATAAGGATTTAATTTTTTTTTATATGCTAGAATTGATGTAAAATGAGCGCAAGTCCATATACATGAAATTGAAACGAACGAAAATTATTTTTGCAAGAACTGTGCATACACTCTTTAAGAAATTATATAGGTATTTTATTAAACAATATACTGTTTACGTGTAATTTCACTTTAAATGTTTTTAATTTCCACTTCGCCTTGCTATAAAGAGTAAAGTGGGGAATGACAGGGGGTTTAGTTTTTTTATTTGAAAGAAGCTATATTATTAATATATATGCTTGCAGGTAGGTAGTCAAATGTTTTAAGCACAATTTGGTGTGTGTGAAATGATATGAAATGATAATTTGAAGCGTTAGAAATGAAACAGATAAAAACATTTCTATTCTCCGGTCTTCCCCTAATACAGTAAATTGTTATGAGTAGGAAATGTATTATTTCATACCGTTATATGTAAATTACGAGTAGCAAGTACGAGAGAGCAGAGAATACAGGCTCAGATATAGACTCATGGTAGTAGTATATTATACGAGTATTAAAAGTTGGCTGATTCATATAGCTTGTGTAATAGAAAGGGATGCATGAAAGATATTCTTACTTTTCACTCTTTGCTCCAAAATCTTGAAAACAAACAACCATGTATCTACAATATACAAGTTTTTTCGTTATTAATTGAATATTTTGTCACCACTGAAAAAAATAATGAAATATACTCTCGTAGGAACGATCAGCCAAGAGTTACTTATTT